ATGTGTTCTGCAATTGTGTCTATACACCACCTTGATAGCTCAGTTGGTAGAGCAGAGGACTGTAAGAAGCTCCTCATGTCAAGTGCTGTCATTCTAAGGAGGATGATTCAACTCCTGCCAGAAGCATCTACATTTCATATTTGTGAGCAATGTTCTGGGTCTAATCACATTGAAATAATGCCAAGCATTGTCTTCATCTTTCAGCTCCTCCAATTTTTCAAAACACAAACAAGAAGGCTCCTACTTAATTTTCCAACTTCAATTTTGTAATCACCCAGTCTTCCAGTCCTGATTACCAGTTCTGGGTCCCTGGCAATGGCTGTTGGGTACAAACTGCAAAGCTTTGTTTTGCAGGTAGGGCTGTGCTTTTCATTGACCATGTGGGTGGATTAGTTGTGTGGGCAAAGTGTGTCGTCTCAGCCACTATGTGTTCTGCAATTGTGAGCATAGCGCACCTTGATTGCTCAGTTGGTAGAGCAGAGGACTGTAAGAAGCTCCTCATGTGAAGTGCTGTCATTCCAAGGTGGCTGGTTCATCTCCAAATTTTAAAGACAAAAACAAGAAGGCTCCTACTTAATTTTCCAACTTCAATTTTGTAATCACCCAGCCTAAAAGACCTGATTATCAGTTCTGGGTCCCTGACAATGACTTTTGGGTACAAACTGCAAAGCTTTGCTCTGCAGTTAGGGCTGTTTCCTTTCATTGACCATGTCGGTGGATTAGTTGTGTGGGCAAGGTGTGTCATCTCAGCCACTATGTGTTCTGCAGTTCTGAGTAGAGAGCACCTTCATAGCTCAGTTGGTAGAGCAGAGGACTATAAGAAGCTCCTCATGTGAAGTGCTATAATTCCAAGGTGGCTGGTTCAACTCCCACCAGAAGCACCTACATTAAATTAGTGTGAGCAATGTTCAGGGTGTAATCACATTGAAATTGTATTCACCCAGCCTAAAAGTCCTGATTATCAGTTCTGGGTCCCTGGCAATGACTGTCGGGTCCAAACCGCAAAGCTTTGTTCTGCAGGTAGGGCTGGGCTCTTCAATGACCATGTGGCTCTAACAGTTATGTGGGCATAGTGTCTTGTCTCAGCCACTATTTTTTCTGCAGTTGTGTCCATACAGCACCTTGATAGCTCAGTTGGTAGAGCAGCGGACTATAGGATGTTCCTCATATGAAATGCTGTGACCCCTAAGTCGCTTTCAACTCCAGCTTTAAGCCCGTACATTTACTATTTTGTTACTAGTTTAATTGATATTAGCAGTATTTGCAGTAGAAGAAGTGGGATTTTGTTTAAGGGGTAAATAATGCATGAATACTAAAACTATTTTAAACAGGGTAATTTTTGATAATTTAAAATCCTCAAGTATTAGAACGGTTTTAAGTATCAGAAAGGTATGAATAAGTTTTACTTTGTTCAAATAATTGAGGAATGCATTATTCTGCATTATATATTATTACACAATTGAGAGAGGCATTGAACAATATGGCCCCAGACACCCCCCCCCACACACACACACACCACCACCACCACCACCATGCAGATACCTTCTGTTGATTTTGTTTCATCTTAACTAAATTTAAAACCTCTATATCGGTCTGCACATTTTTTGATGAAAGATTTTGTGTAAGTTAAACCAAATACAAATATTCCTCTGAAATAATTTATTTGTCTCATGCTATTACTGAGTCTATACTTTAAGTGTGTTGCACAAACTTGTAACTCTTTAATGCTCTGATGGTGGACATGTTCAGTGGTTTACAAAAGTAATGGGTTGCATTGCTGTGCCATAGGTGCACATCAGTATCTCTTCTGTTTTTTAAAGTGACTATTTGTTTCATCTGGGTTTGATGCAGTCTATAAGTTCTGCTTTTGCAACAGCATTATTCACACTACAAGCAGTTTTTTTGCAATTTTAGTTAGACAGTGAAAGGATTGTAGGAAATCTTGGAAGGCTGCTGGGGTGGTCAATCGAATATCAGGGGGGCTATAGCCACGCCTAGTCACCCCAAAAATCTGTTCCTGTATTCATAATCTGCACTATCAGCCTCAGAAAATGTTTTCGTTGAAGACTTAAATTTGACCTTGACGTGAGTTGAACACGCAACCTTCTGATATGGAGTCAGACGCGCTACCATTGCGCCACAAGGTCATTGTTGTCTTTTAGAGGTGGCACTTCATCCAGAAAGTATTAAAGCATAGAAAATGATAAGCACTAAAAAATTATCACTGAGCCCACAGTTTTATTTAACAGGAATTTGTTTCTAATAATTAACATTTTTGTACTTTCATTTGAGAGTTTTGAGTGTTTGAACCTTCTGTGATTTGAACCTTCAATAAAAGTAGTTCTTTGTTCCTTTTGAAAAACTCACCTATCCTCAACTTAAAACTACTTTGAGTGTGCAAAATCCAGAATTTTGTCCTAAATGTTGTTGGATAGCAGGATGCAATCAGGTTCAAATGTCCTCATAAATTCTTTTTAAATGACCCAACATTGGTGTTGGCATTGATTGATAAGTGACTTAGTGTACACAGTTTGTGAAAGGACTGTAGGAATTCTCGGGAGGCCATTGGGGTGGTCAGTCAATAATCAGGGGGGCTATAGCCACACCTAGTCACCCCAAAAATCTGTTCCTGTATTCATATAATCTGCATTATCAGCCTCAGCAAATGTTTTCGTTGAAGACTTAAATTTGACCTTGACGTGAGTTGAACACGCAACCTTCTGATCTGGAGTCAGACGCGCTACCATTGCGCCACAAGGTCATTGTTGTCTTTTAGAGATGGCACTTCATTCAGAAAGTATTAAAGCATAGAAAATGATAAGCACTAAAAAATTATCACTGAGCACACAGTTTTATTAAACAAGCATTTAGCTGTTAAGTGACTTAGTGTGCAGAGTTTTGTACAATGAAAGGATTGTAGGAATTCATGGAAGGCCAGTGGGGTGGTCAATCAAGTCTAAAGGGGGCTATTGCCACCCCTGGTCACCCCATTGATCTGTCATTGCATTATTCTATACATTATCTGAGTTGTTAATGTTCACAAAGCTTTTCATTGAAGACTTAAATTTGACCCTGACGTGAGTTGAACACGCAACCTTCTGATCTGGAGTCAGACGCGCTACCATTGCGCCACAAGGTCATGTGTGCTACTTAGAGGTGGCACTTCATTGAGAAAATTGTAAAAGCACAAAAAATGATAAGCACTTAAAAATGATCATGGAGCCCACGGTTTTATTTATCAAGGTTTTCTATCTATTAATTAACATATTTGTACTTTCATTTGAGACTTTTAAGCGTTTGAACCTGCTTTGATTTGAACCTAAAATGAAAGTAGTTCTCTGTTAGTTTCAAAAAACTCATCTATCCACAACTTAAACTACTTTAAGTGTGCAAAATCCTTAATTTTGTCTTAAATGTTGTTTGACAACAGGATAAAAACAAGTTCAAATGTCCCCATTAATTCTTTTTAAATCACCCAACATTGGTGTTGGCATGTAGTTGTTAAGTGACTTAGTGTAACCCAGTGAATCTATTTTATTTTCATAATCTGCATTATTAGCCTCAGCAAAGCTTTTCGTTGAAGACTTAAATTTGACCCTGACGTGATTTGAACTCTGATCTGGAGTCAGACGCGCTACCATTGCGCCACAAGGTCATTCATGTCTTTAAGAGGTAGCACTTTTATTGAGAAAATTGTAAAAGCACAGAAAATGATAAGCACTAAAAAATGATCACTGAGCACACAGTTCTATTCAACAAGGATTTGCATCTAATAATTAACATACTTGTGCTTTGATTGAAGAGTTTTAAAAGTTTGAACCTGCTGTGATTTGAACCCGCACTAGAGTGGTGGAAGTTACCTCACAGTTCGCAAATGTACTGTTCTTAGCTGTTCCCAAATGCACATACTATGATTTCTTTGCTTGTATTTGTTCAGAAGGTAACAGTTTTACTTGCACAAGATTTCTTTCATTCAAATGTCAAACATTGTTATGTTTTCATGAAAGTGTTTGGAGGTGTTTTGAACAGGCAGCTCTCCCACCTACAGACAGACATACCATTAAGCCCAAAGTCCAGAAATGTCAGTTTGTCGAGGTGGAGCTTGACAGAAAAGTCGGTTTTCGGTCTAAAGAGCAGAAAAGATTATTTTCCAGTTCTGATTATTCTTCTGTGTTAGAGATGCAACAAAATTAAAATCGCAATACTAACATTCAAACAAATCCATAGTCTATGAATTTATGAAAATGAAGATTAAAATTTTTTTTTAAACATTACCATAACTTAAATCATGCTCATTTAGACTGTATGAGGCAGGTTAAATTACCTTAATATATTCTAAAACATTTGCACCTGCTGACCTTGTAAACAAAATGTCACTCGGTATAATTTTCTAACTTTCAAGCAAATGGATTAGGAATTAGTCATGTAGTGCAAAAAGATTCAGTTTGAGACAGGAACATCCAGCATTAAGTTCAGTACATCGCCTCATGGCCTTGAGTGTCTGTGGTGGCTACAGGGTAGGTAGGCTGTAAATGCATCCTTTAGTTTATGCAAATTTTGGTCTAGTTCTGTAAATGCAACTGCAATCACAGAAAACCCACTGACTTGATAGTTGTCAAGAAAACCATGAAGTCCCCCACAAGGAGGTTAAGCGACAAGTCATTGCTGAAAGAACCGAGCCGTTTCTTGGTGGCCATGTCCTGAGAACAAATTTAAGTTCCAATTTGGAACGCAAGGTCTTTTGGGTAACCTTTGTATGTGTAGCCCAGTCAAGCAAACACTTGTTTTTCCTGAGCAAAAGCAGGGTCAAGATTAGTACATGGCATCTGTGAAGTTAAGTTTTGAGCTTCAGCATTTGTACACAGGGCCACCTCAAGAGCTAGAAAGTCCAGTTTAAGTAAACTTCAGCCAGTCAAAATCCCACAGCAAAAACTCAGTTCACAAGACATTTAAAGTTGAACTTTTTTTATTTCAAGTAACTTCTTTCCTGCAGCAGGATCCACCTCTTAATAGCCACCCTGGAAGAGAGGATAAAAACAAAAAGTGTTAATTCAAGCAGACAACAACAGTCACCGATTATGAAAGTCACTTACCTTGCCCTTCACAGGTGCACCCTTGGGGGTTTGGGGGACTTGAACATTAATCTCCTGTAGGGTGTACTGGGGAATGTAGTATCTCTGGTAGTGAACATCTTGGAAGTGGTCTCTTCCTTGCTCATAGCTGCTGGCAGAGTGAGTGATGGTGCCGGGAGGATACTGGCCAGTCATGAACATGTAGTCGTAGTAAGGATGAACACCCCAGGTTGCAACCATGTCAGAGCTGGGCACACTGGTGTACGTCACTACAGGAGACTGCTGTGTTTTGGGGGCGGCAGCAGCAGCAGTCTTGTAGCCCAGTCCTTGAGTTTCCCTGGCTGAGTCTCCAAGCTCATAGCTTCCCTCATAACCTGACAGATCTCCTCCCTGGTACACTGGTCCATAAGCTGGAGCCTCCTCAGCCGAGATGTAGCCACCATCACTTCCAGAGAGGAAACTGAGAGGTTGAACAGCCCAGTTGACATCTTAAAAAAAAAAAAAAAAAAAAAAAAAAAAAAAGAGAGAAATAGTTAAACCAAGCAACTACTGAAATGACTAAAAGTATGGTTTATTTAGCCACACTTCATGCAGTACCTTCTGGGCCTTGTTGAAGACCTGGTCCAGTCATGGCAAAGTAGGCAGGGTTAGGTGTTGCTACCTGTTGGCCTGCTCCAGACTGACCAACAATTGCAACAGCTTGTCCCTGAATGGCAGGCTGAGCGAAACCGGCTTCTTCTGCAACCTCATGAGATGATGAACCTTCAGTGGGAGCAAAGCTGAGTGCGCCATAGTCAGAGCCATAAGAGGGAGCAGCACTGACATGACCACCACCACCATAAGAAGCACTGGGATCAAAACCTGGGTACAAAGTATTCAGTTTAGTCATCAGGAGACTCAAGTAAAAATATAACAAACACAAAATACCCTGAGTTGACTTTACCTGACTTAACAGGAAGGCAGCAGATATCCACAATCAGCAAGGCAAAGAGGGAAGCCCTGAACAAGTGAAGTCAAGGAACATTAAAAAGGTGTATTTCAGCAAAGGGTTAAACAACATTAAAAGAACAACTACTTACCCTGCAACGAACTGTGAAGTCATCATCTTGAAGCCGGAGACTGAAGCCAGACACTGTTGTTACTCTGAACTGTGACGGTTTATATATGTGACAAAAGATCAGCCTGACCAATCAGAGCTTAATGAGTTAACGACAAACACCTGCTGGTGACTGGCTCTCAGTCCACACCTGAGCACACCTGAGCAATCAGTGTAACTTTGGACAGGTGTGAACAGCGTGTGTTTAGTTGCTGTCTGTTATTAAATAAAAAAGGAGGATATCCTACAAGAATGTAACACTGCCCAATGGAGGGATCAGTAGATTGTGTTTTTACAGTGCTCGACGTAAAGAGGAAAATGAACAGCAGACATCAGGAAGATTGGAGAAGAGGAACTAGCCTCAAAAATGTACAAGGTACACTTTTAGGAACCTCACAGTATCAGAGGAACAGTTTTAATCACTGGAATTTAGTCAGGCTTAAAACACCTTTTGAGTTATTGTTATTCAGGGCTCTGGTTTACACTCCAACACAGAGGGTTGCAGAGAGTCATTTCTGTCCTCCTTATTCTGGCAATTTTTTGTTGATTTAAAGACACCTGATTCATTTTGTATTTATGTGTCAAATGTTCTTATATATATGTACATATTCTAAACAGAGGACCTTAGGACACTATCTTATTAGATGTTTTTATTTATAGAAATTAATAGAATATTTAGAATTTATTTAAAAAAAAGGGCAAAATCATGGACTGAACCAATGACCTGAGGAAAGCTTTTGATGGAAGAAAATGTGATTTGTTGTTTATAGTCATACAGATATTGTGCTTTGTGCAACTAGTGCCTGTTTGAACAGTTGCTTATGCATCAAATAAATCACTATCTCATTGAAATGAATATTTGACAACTTTCTAACAGGAATTAATCTAGATATGTATCTAATCTTCACACTTCACTGTGTATCAAACTTGCACCCAGTGAAAAAAGTAATTGTAATTTTACCTTATAATAAAAAGGTTAAGCTGGATATAATGTCCGGGGATTATGGTAGGCTGATATTAGCAGAAAAATATAAGTCGTCATCCTGTGAATAATGATAAACTGACTAAAGTTAGACTGTCTCACCTATAAATGTATCTTCCAATTCAATAGAAGTTATATTTTTATGGCACATGTGATCTCCCATAAATGATGGTCCCATGCCGGGGCACAGCCATGGATCCTGGACCCCACTAGATGGCGCCAAAAGACTAAACAGTGTAGCTTATTCCCTGACTGATTTTCTAAAGCTGATGTTTCATTCATTGTAATGTAACTCCATGTAGGTATTCACTGATGATTTTTAGGTGTTATGGACCAGCCTACTCTCACTTGTGGTAAGGTATTATTTTTTACCTGGTTGATGACGAGTTATGCCAGCTGTAGCCTATCATGTTCACCATTTTAGCCAAGTAAATTAGTTTTCTGGTAATAAAACAAATTTTCATGTGAGTATTAGCTGTTTGACCCGTGAGCTGAGTCAGTTCCGATGAAAGAGAGCCAAAGAAAGAGTGAGCAGCCTTTATCAAACCTGTGATGAACAACACTTTGATCAGCTCGATTGTTTGTGTCTTGTCCTGCAGCTGGGAGTATGAAGGGGGATTTTAATCCGAAGAAAACATCAGTAAAGGACAGTTTGGAGCGGGGGCACAAACGGACTGAGAGCACCCCGCCCACCCCAACAGCAGCGGCTGCAACATGTGCGTCCTCCCCACCCGGTCCTCTCATCTAATGGAAAGAGCACTATGCTGATGGTAAGGAGATTGAAATAACTAGGAGGGCATAGCATCATGTAAGTGTACATCCTGCCGTGAAAACACTTAAGACTCTTATAGACCAGAAACAGATCAGATTGTTGCTATGTTTTCTTCACGATCCCGTGTGAAAGTTGGAAGTTGATCAGAGGACTGATGATGTGGGGGGGCCGAGTCAGAGTAGACAGCAGCATGACAGCAGGGGTGTGCGGACACTGTCCCTGTATGGTGGCCGAGAACCGCCACTGCTGCAAATAAAAAAGAAATCAGAAGTCACAATGGAAGTTACCGATGCAAAAAAACAAACAAAAAAACAACTAAGCTTGCTGCAAATAAAAAAAGAAATGGTGCAGATAAAAAAAAAGCCACAATGGAAGTTAACTAAACAAAGAAAGTGGCGATGCAAAAATAATAATAATAATAATGATGCACCGGTGTTTTACAATCTAGACACAGAAGATGACTGCGAGAAGACGACCAAAGAAGTGAGTAGAAAAGTTATTGTTTGATTTCACTTTGTTTGCTTTTCAATGTGTCATTTGGTTAGGCCATGTTGTGCCTGAGTCGATATGAAGTTGAACTGAAGGGTGCTGGTGTAGTGTTAGCTTCAATTAGACCTCATATTGACTCAGGCGCAACATAGCCTAACCAAATGACACATTAAAAAGCTTTTTCCCAGATAGTGATGAAATCAAACAATAACCTTTCAACTTAATTCTCTGCTCGCCTTCTTGCCGTCATCTTCTGTGCCTAGATTATGAAACACTGGTGCATCATTATAATTGGTCCCTGGAAGCTCACTTCCGTTGTGGCTTTTTTAAAATTTATTTATTTTGTCTGCACCATTTTTTCTTTCTTTTTTTTTCTTGCAGTGGGCTTTGTTTTTTTTTTTTTTGTTGTTGTTGTTTTTTTTTCCCATCAGTAAAAGTCCATTGTCACTTTTTTTTTGCATTCTTTTTTTTTTACAACAGTGGCAGTTCTCGGCCACCGTAGTCCCAGAGATGACACCCTGATTTGAAGTTTGAAACTACAGTCAAGTAGGGGTGTTTCTTTGACCTGGTCACATACTACCCTAGTTATATTCAAACACTTAAAATCATTTATTATTAACAAAAAAAATTTATAACAAAATTTTTATAAAAAAGCGTTTAAGTTTGGACAATGTGATAGGGAGTGATAAAATGTACAGTTTATTCCTCATTTTATGATTTTATCAGTTACATGCTTTTTAAAAATGTCTTAAAATGTAAAACTGCAAAAATAATGATAAAATATAGAAAAACAACATTTTCAAAAAGCCAGAGAACTGTAGGGAAAAAAGTTGAGAAGTAGGGAAAAACTTTCTGTGATTTGAGTTCATTTTGACACCCTTTAGATTTAGTTCACAGCCTCTTTTTAGGGTCTTGACATCCAAGATGATGATCACAGTTAACAAAAAGTTCTGATCAAAAAAGGCTGTTCACTGAAGTACTGAACCAAACCCGAATGTGGGTTCGTGATAAACATATGCTGTATATTAATTTCATTCTCTAAATCACCTGCCAAAGTTGTGCACATTGCTTCTGTTTTTGTTTAGCAGCTCCCTTCTGAACTTTATACTGAAAACCAACAATTTATCATTTATTTATCAGCTTATGATGCTTCTTCAGGGGGCAGCTGTGGCACAGAGGTGGAGCTCCCATGGTATCAACATGGTTCAACTCCCAGTTCTGTTAGCCCACACAGGGTCCTTGACCAAAACACCTAACCTAAAGTTGCCCCAAAGAGTGAAGCAATTGTGGTTAGATTGGTCCCATGGGAGCAGCGCTGCCATCTAGTGATGAGGGATTTATCATTGCAGTGTTTTAGTTGGAACCCACTAAATCAGAGCACTGCTGGTACACTCTCTGCATGAAAGTATGTCAGTGAACTAACTGTCATTACCAGAGATTAGGATGCTTTTCCCAGATAGTGATGGTTTTCTCTTAAGCCTCTGAAACATTATTTTGGAGTTTATAATTCAAAAGGATATTTTAATCAAATAAGTCTTGCTTGGAACATCTCAAGTCACAGTCTCTTATCAAAAGTTTCTGCAGTACCCTGTAAACCAAAACTCCACAGCAATAGTATGGCACACATGATATGATATTAAAAGGACATTGCTAGACAATCAACACAGGAAACATTTGAGATGTCACAATATCAGATGATCTTATGCATCATGTGCATCATTTCTTCTTTAAATTTTTACTTTTAGCTTAAAGTAAATCAGAAAGAAGAAGTAGTGAAAGAGAGGGAGAAGGAGAGTCCCGTGGTTTTTCTCTATTTCTGAATCCTTTTATAAAAAAGTTAAGATGATGACATCTGACCAGCAGTTATCCCTGAAGTTGCAGATGTCTGCACTTTTCTAGCTGGCAGAAATGTTTGACTGCTGGTTATGAAACACACAGGCTGTGTATGTATCCACTGCTGTGAAGCATTCAGGCAGTTTTATTCAGTGTATCTGTTCCCAATCTTTGATCTCTAAATGAAGTCAGATTACATACTTTTAGGGTATCTAAGATCAGCCCTAACTTGGTCCCTCAAGATCATTATAAACAGACATGAGAAGGATTAACCTTCAAGTCTAAGAGCAGGTAACTAAACATTTGACATTAAGAAATTGATATATATAATTCTGTCATTTCTAGTGGAAGACTGAGATATCTCACCTCTGCATAGTGACCACGAGGACATTCAATGCCAAACTGAATCTCCACTTTTTTAGTTGATGTTGTGCTTTCGTAGAGAAATATTTCACATTCTCAGCAAAGATGTGCAAAAGTAAAGGATTTGGAAAAGTCTGGGAAATCAGCTCTAGCCTGAGGCACCCTAATCCAGTCCCACATGCTCTGATAAGAAATATAAACAGCATCCCTAAAACCAACTTTAATCCTTCAAACAGCTCTTTTAGATCCAAGCATTCAGCGTTGACATTTCTTTAAGGTTTTGTTTGGCCACTTAATGCTTCATACTTTGGACTTACATCCATAAATAAATCTACAGAGTCCACAGCTGCTCCATATGAGCCTGAATATTTAGACAGCAAACATAAAGGAGCTGAGGGGAACACTCTATACTGGGCACTGGACCAACAGTCTCCGCTCAGGATCCTTGTATCTGCTTACTCTGAAGCTCTGAACCATTTGGCACTTCTCTTCATCCCCATATAGGTTTGCTCAATAGGAGTCCAAAGCCAAGCATCAGTATGTTGGACAGTGCAGCAGTGTATTAACTGTATTATCCTCTCCAGACTTGAGCGGCTCTGCGTTGTGACTAGAAGTCATGTGGCTGAAGACCTTTTCTGAACTTCTTTGTCGTTGGTATCTCTGGACTGTACACACGCATGGACACATGCGGGGGTGATGTTAACTCTAGGTCAGTGGTTTTAGGAAGTGCGTAGACTGGCTTGCGTGTCAGAGAGTGTGCATGTGGTAGCTGTGTCTTGTGATCAGGCGATGGTGAAACATATATTTTGGCCCCTCATGAGTGTTTGTGTATTGGAAGTAAGACTTCCGGCACTGATTTACATCTCTGCCCTCAGCTACAAGCATCATTTTGAAAAAAAAAAAAACAGCATAAAAAATTTAGCACGGGTAGTTTCTGGGCCAACTGATAATGATTGTACAATAGGGTGAGCCTTGTTAACTGCAGTGTTTCTTCAGTGTCTTACTTTGATAATACTTTCTTTTTTTTTATTGGAGGAAATACTTCAGACCCGAGTGAGAAAGAAATCTACCCATTAAGAGTCAGACATGAATAGATTGGAGAGCTGTAAGAGACCTTTTAAAAGAGTCAGAAACACTTGGACATTGTGGATCTATACTTGGACTATTGGGCAGGTTCAATGTGAGGAATAGCTTGGGATTGTAGGCAATCTTAGATTATAAAGGCCCAGCAAGGACTGAAATGCTCCTTCATATGCTTTTAATGTGTAGTATGCTCCTAACACTGTTCAGCAGCTTCACTCTGGAGTCTGTCATTACCCATGCTGCTGTCACCTGGGCTGTTATCTCAAAGCTGAGACCAACCGAGTCACAGCATATAATTAAAGTGACCATTGAGATCACTGGTGATAAACTGGCTGTTTTAAGCGGGGTGAAGCTTTAGACATTTCACAGTGCGCTTTTCATCATCCATCTGAAAAATTCAGGTTCTTACTTTCTAAAAGGAGATTTGGATTTCCATTGACAAGACTTGACAGGTTGAATACTACATTTTATCTTCATTCATAAAACAAAAAGATTCTGGTGAGAATTCAGATATTTTGTAAAAGTGCGTTACTCGTTTTAATAAGTTATTCTTGTCACATGATGCATTCCAGTATTTATGTGTCTTACTTTAAATTTTGGACAAAGTCTGGCTTAAATTGTCAAGTTGCGATACCAAATTCAATTTCCTGAATTCAAGAGCAGTGAAGTTAGTTGAAACAACATTTAAAAGTGCTCTTTGAAATCTCTGTCTCTGTTAATCTTTCTGATTCGACCTCACAGCTGCACCTTGAAGACCCTGGCTTATTATGAGTTTCAATTAAAGTAGTGTCTGAAATTTCACACTTGATTATTAAAACATCTCACAGCACTCTGAAACACAGCTCTGTGATTTATCAGCTTTTAGCATGTGCAACAATCAAGTGAACACTCTTGGTTTGCTAAATCTTTAAATGCAAACCAGACTTCTGATTAAGAGACTTTTCAGGCTCAGCTGGAAGTCAGAGGTTCAGTTTCTGTGTCTCGGTCAAACACCCTGAACTTCTCAGGAGATAAGGAGAACTCACGGTGAATTTTTCTTCTTCAGCATCACGAAATGTCATGAGTTCCTGCAGCATCCTTTGTTAGGAGTGCTTGTCTGGATAACACCACTCAAGCGCCCTTTGTTCTTTTGGAGTCAGACATGATAGCCAGTAGGTCACATGACCTTTTGGCCAAAAAAGATCTTGCCAACCTTACCAGCATCCTTCTCTGGATGCATCAGTGGGTCTTATTGTTTCATTGACTCTGCTGACGTGTCCTCTGGCAATGCAGGAGTGTTGACTTTCTGCAGTTATAATCCCGCAGAGGAGAGGGATTTTCTGTGCTGCACATCAGTGAGAGTGATTGTCAAAGACAGAAAACATGAAGGAGGAAGGAGAGGGAGGGAACTGGTGAGAAAGAGGAAGAAGCTGGCCTATATAAAAAAGATGAGTGTGGGGCGAGAGCAGAGAGGTGGGGTTTTGTGAGGCAATTTGGGGGGACACTCAGAGACTGAGCTCGGAGTGAACTAGTAAACTGCAAATTTGCAGGTGTGCAGTTATATTTTTTTCATGGACTTTACCTCTTTGTGGCTCCACAGAGGACATTTAAATAATTGAATTTATTCTCATTTTTATCTCTAATATATTTATAGTCTTCACTGATTTATTCAGAAATTACCCCTTGTCTTTTTCTGCAGGTGCAGCAGAGCCTCCTGTGTGCACGTGTGTGCACGTGTGTGTCCATGCAGGTAAAAAGATAGCATTAGGTATCTACCTGACTGTGTCTGCGTGTGTGTGTGGGTGTGAAGGGGACCATGGCAGGCTTTGGGAATAGTTTGATGCTGAAACGTGGCCTGACCTTTGTCACGGGCCTGTTGGAGTGTCTGTGTTTTGCTGGAGCCGTGTTTGGGTGGGCATCGCTTGTATTTGTCCTGAAGAGTGAGGGCTACTTCAGCTCTCTCTGTGTCAACGTCACTCAAGTCAATGGAACGCAGGTCCTAGGTCAGTTTGAAATCCATATACCCAACACTTTAACATTACCTCTGTCTGTATAATTTATTCAATAATTGTAGATGTTAAGTGTGGTTTACTTTACCTTTTTCTTGAACTTGGTTCTTCTTTTTCTACTTGTGTCCTTTAGATTGCAGTGGGCAGGATGAGCAGTTTTCACTCGTTTTCACCATTGCCTCCTTTATGAACAATTTCCTGACGCTGCCCAATGGCTTCCTCTTTGACCGCTTTGGTACCACTGTGGCTCGTGTTTTTGGAATGTGAGTAAGACAACCTCTTAGTTACTAAAAAGTAGGTGGTGAGTGGAAATGATGCATCTTCTGTGTAACTTTTAACAAAGAACTATGCAACAAAAAAACCACTGACAGATAAAACATAGACAACAGCTGTTAAAGGGCAAATAACAACAACAACAACAAAAAAACAGTTGAATGTCCTGATTTGCTGTTTTGCATATTTACGACTTAGAGGTTGGATGGTTTTGTGAGGGTTAGGTCATTTATGCACTTTTATGCACTCTTGTCTGTCATTTACCGACTGAAAAGTTGTTTAAAGTTTTCTGAAAGGTTATAGAGACCAAACAGTTCATGAAACAACTATAACTTTTAACAACAGTTCACTCAGTGCAACAACAGTAAGCGCTGAGCTCCCTGTAACATCAATTATCTTCTGCTAACTTATCCAGCGTAGCCTCCTACCATGTCAATCAAGTAAGACTTCTAATTTTGATGCTCCTTGCTGTCAATCTGTCGCTGATGTAATAATGTAATGCTGACTTTGAAAGGTGGCTAGAATAACTTCTGTGTCCATCAAATACAAAATATAAAAAGTTTATTTAAAAAAAAGTTTTTTCTCTATATTTGAAGTCAGAGACATAAAGACAAATAACCACCTCTCTGTTTCAAGAGTTATCTATATTGTGGATTTATCAGGTTGATTAGCCAAAACTTCAAGTCTTTTATACAATACAAATATTTTTTTCAATTGCAACATCTTTGGTGGTCTTGCTTGTTCATCCAATTACAGTGTTAAAACATTTTGTGCCTGTAGCTATGAGCAAAACCAAACAAAAAGTTGAGGATATTGACTTTTCTTTTTTCTGAATTCTAGAAGGAGCTTTTCGATTGTTCTCAGAACTGGGATATTTTGGTCAATGCATTAGTGATGTCAAATCCTGATACTCAAAGCTATTAAAAAAAGCCTTGGGCTGCAGTCACTGTTTGTTTTTTCTCTGAGTCAGAGGTTTTAATCATGAGACACATTCGCTTCTGTCTTCTCCATGTCCCTTTACAACCTCGTTCTTCTCTGGTTTGGTGGCTGCTATAATGCTGCCATGAAAAATGCCAATTTGCTATCGCTTGAGTCTGTGTCTGGTATTTCCCTCTGAGGGATCAACAGATCTGTTCTGCATATACTTACAGCTGGGTGTCACAGACAGAGGCGATGAAGTTTTACTGCTGTGTGCATGTAGATAAACTTGTTTCGATGAGGGAAAATAAAGCGACAGAATTCATAGAAGAAAGGATTGAACAAGAGGAGAAAGAGAGATCAGAAGCTCTTTTTAAGGTGTGTTATGTAAAGAAACAGACGTCTGCAGATGGCAGACATATTCATGGAATGGAAATGCAACAGTACATAAATACACAGTAACAGTACACTTGGGAAAAACAAATTCTGAAAGAGGACAAATCTCTCTCTGTATCTCCATCTATTTCTAATCCTCCCCAACCCAGTGGCGGCAGGTAGCTCTCTACCATGAATCCAGTTCTGCTCAAGTTTTCTGCCTGTTAAAGGGAAGTTTTTCTTTGCCGCGGTGACTTGCTTGACATCTTGCTAACATCAAACAATGAGTTAGGTCTAGACCTGATCTTTTGGAAAGCCTCTTGGGATAACGACTATTGTGATTTGGCGCTAATGAAAAAAACATTTGATTGATTGAAGAAAACAAGTCACAGAGAGGCCAAGGCAACTATTAGTCACATCAGAGAGAAAAGACTAGTTCTGTTCTAGGAGTAGGTGGAATAATCCAAGACATGAGTGTTAGCAACGTATTTGATCGAGTGGCTTTATAACTGTGGTGCTGTATGGTGGTTGGAGTGGAAGCAGGGTTAAAAGCTCATTGGGGGTCATCAGGTGGACGCTCGCCTTCTTCAGCGTTTCACCTCCTGTGGGTTCATGTGCAGCCCCCAGTGTCCCAGGTGTGCCGCCCCTCTGCTTTCAACCCTTCTGTGTTTCTTGCTGTCAGTATAGATCAGGTTTTGAGAGCATCCTTTGATATTGTGTTACTTCAGGGGCCCAGGGTTTGTCTCACCTCTTCACCCAAAGCCTGTTCTGGTGTACCTAAGAGGGCTTTGATGGTTTGTTGTTGGGTTTGACCTCGAATTCCCAAGTCCTTAAGCAGTCTGATGGTTGACTTGCCTAATGATGTTAAATTGTGCAGGCATTCAAACCCTGTGACTAATAAGTCGTTGAACTTCCTCAGCTGGTATTTATTGTATTGCACAGGAAAACACAGACATTTCTGCCTGGTTTATGCCATAGATTTATGCCAATCCATGATAACAAAGTGGGGCGAAGAACATCCTGTGATTTAGAGCAGGAAAATAATTGCCAAGAAGCCAAAATAGTTGATAAAGGATGAAGACAGGCAGAGGGAAGGGAACTAAAGTGGGTCAAAAGTTCTCCAAACAGCAGTAGAGGAACCTTCGTGCATGGGCTTGACATGAAAAGAAACTTTAGTTTTGCTTTTTTTTCCAGTTTGAACTACCCACAGTAAAATGAGCTCCATAATAACTGGCTTTTAACTCTTGGTAAACTCTTAATTAGTAAAGATTGGGGAGTCCCTTCTCATTCCTGCTCAAAACAAAACATGGTTCAGTGCATCCTGTGTGAGCGAGAGGAGTGATCTTACCACAGTCATCATCATCTGGAAAAATTAATGTTATTCCAAAGAAAATTCTGCACTGTGTCAAAACTTTTCTGTTTCTCTTCGCACTAATTCAAGAAAACATCAGACAGATTAGTAATCACACTTCTCTCACCCATCAGCTGTTTTACTCCACACTGCAGTTTGTGATGTGGTATATTTCTTGGTTAGTGATCATCAGCTGTACACTACTCTCCACAATGGGTCATTAGAAACAATTAGTCCACTATAAAGGTTAAAACAATACTCATCCAGCACTTGGACAGGATATGAATTTCTCACAAAATAATCAGCACCAACGGCACAATCATATGAGATACAGGAAAAATAATTCAGTTTGGAGTTCATGAGTTAGCCTCAACAGATGAGTTTCAATCTGTAGACTTGTAAGATATCCCTCCCTCTAAAAACTAAGCCTGATATTGCCTTAGAACAAGTTTTCATTCATATCCATTGGTAGTGATTTTATAAAAGTACAGTTTTTGTTCAGAAATCTGATTCAGATTTCATGTCTTGCTATTATTTAATAATACATATTTATCGTGTATCACAGGGTTAAAATTTCTGAATGGATCATTGTGTAAGGGCTTTAGTGATTGTATGGATTGGCTCAGGGTGATGCGGTCAGCCCAAAGCAGTTTAATATTTATAGAGCTGTTTATTTTCAGGACACCCAAAAGCGCAACATCCCTATCTGCATGTGACCACAATTTTACACTTATTCTCTTTTTCAAGCTAAAACGTTTTTCATATCTGACCATCAAACAACCAATTTGAATCCCAAATTTGTTCCTCTCCATAAATGTTGGGTCTGTTTTGTGACGCCTCTTGCATGCTAAAATGTGATTTTCCCCTCAAGATTGCTGTACACCATGGGTACCCTGCTGGTGGCTTTCTCAGCCTCAGGTAAAAACCTTTTTTTTTTGTCTAATCCAAGCCTGTATTGTCTGAACAAATACCGCAGAGAAGTAAGATGCTCATTTACCCCCTTGTTTTTGTTTCCTCCCCTCAGCCTTGTCCAACTTGCTTTTCCCGGCTCTCTCTCTTCTGTCAGTTGGCGGCATGTTGTTTCTCATCACTAACATGCAGGTACCGAAGCAGTCCAATCTTGTCCGATTACATTAATTTGCAAATTATTCCATGATTATTCGATTTACCGCTCAATATATTCTGTACCACTCTATGAAAAATGTGTCTTTTAGTCTTTTCAATGCCTCTTCTGATCAGAAACTCACAAAACGATTCAGAAAAAAGGGTGATGAGCTCAACACTGTGATATCTGATGGGTGGTTACTAATTTAAACTGGAATTCATATTTAACAGTTTCAGATTGGTCGAGAATAGTGTCTTATTGAGATTGGCAAGTTTTCTTTGAATGAAAATCAAGCGAGAAAATGAAAGTTTATGCAGATAAAGAGCATTGGTTCAGGTCTGATAGGGCCATTATACACACTTCACACAAACCAAAGACAGAGCGTAGGCCTCAGTGTTTGCTTTACTGCTCGTCTTTTCTCACACAAGGCTCATGATCTTGTTGATAAAAAGCACAATGAAAGCTTCCTGGTGAGATTAGTAACATCTTAGTGGTGTATCTGTGAGGGCGAAACCACATGCACACATTTTAACAGGCGGGTAAATCAGCAATAACACAATTTGCCTTGAATGACACTGAGGTGGAAGCAATATATCAAGGGTGTTATGTGTTTGTTCGAAGGTTGGAAACTTATTTGGGTCACATCGCTCCACCATCATCACCCTCTACAACGGCGCCTTCGACTCCTCCTCAGCACTCTTCCTCGTCATCAAGGTAAGAAACATTTACAATCAGCTCCCACGAACAAAACTTTGACCGTCTCATGCCCACACTCTTCTTTTTTCACTCATGCAGCTGTTGCACGAGGTGGGGGTCTCCATCCAAGCGAGCTTCCTCTTTCTGGCTGCCTGTGGGGTCATTCACCTGTTCAGGACTTTCTTCCTGCTGCCCAGAAAGTTCTTCCCCTATCCGCTCCCTGATCACTATACATATGGGTACAACATCGCCTTTTACACACACACGCACCAGGGATTCATCAGCAGCATCTCATAAGTGTTGTAACGCTCTCATTTAGATTTAAAGCATGCATACACTTAACTATATTAGCTACAGATAATCAAAAAAATAACATCAAGTTAAATTTCAAACAAACACAACTTTAAGAGCATTTTTTGTTTCTTTTTGGGCTTATGTGACAGACGAGTGGGTAGAGTAACAGGGCCCAAGGTTCTGTTTCAAGGCACGATAAAAATGCAAAGTCAGATTGTTGTCAAAATTTAAAGAAACCGTTTTATTGAATTATGAGGTGCAATGCAACCTGCTATATCTGTGTTTCTCTCTGCACCTTGTTAGAAGTGAACACACCTTGCATTTCAAAGTTAACAGCATTAAACAGTGCTCTCTTGAACAAGAAAGTAAAAACTATTAAAACGACTGGAGATCTACTTTGAGTCATCAAACAATTTAAACTAATCGACCTACCTCAAGAGTTTTTTCTGAATAAACATCAATGAAAAATCAGAAATAACACTTTTTCTAAAACCTAAATCCTTTTTTTAGATTTTGATCAGTTCTCAAAACTTTATGAATCAATGCCTCTTATAATACCAATATGCTTTGTACCTTGTACCAGCATTGTTTTTTTTTTTACTCTCCCAGCACTCTCATGGACCCTCTCAGTTTATTTATGACTTTTAAAGGCTGCTATCAACAGACATGGACAAAAAATCCCTCCGGCACATCAGCTGACCAATAAACCAATAAACACTAAACACACCAAAGAGCTGCTCGACTGTGTATCATAACTGTCAGCTTGTGCAGACTTTAGTTTGACATTAAACACCAACATTAAACGATATCATTCAGTAGAAAGCTCTCATTTTCTGTTCTGACAATAAACTACTATTCAGTTCTTCGGTATCAACACTGCAGCTAATTCATAATGCTCTACATCAGCAGCAGATATCTTGGTCTTTGAGAAAGTTTCCTCAGTGTTTACACCCTCCTCTGTGTGTGAGGTGAAGCATTGTGATTGTCCTGAGCTCAGTCAGGTCAGACTCTGTCTGAACCGTTTGAACTCTGTCTAAATTGGAGATAGACTACACTCCATCTGCCCCAGCAAAAACAAACAGGAGAGCTTCCATTTAGGCTATTTTTAACTTTTATATCATGTGGTGTATTTTTGATTGGTTGGTGCTTGAAATTCAACAGTTAGCAAAAAACTCTTAACCCTACTGTGGCCTTTGACCTTTTTCAGGATAACTTGTGGAGAGTCAAGTTCCATAGCCAACGGTAACATGCGGCACACTGTTGAGGAAACGCCAACCAGTAAGGATGTAAATATGAAACAAGGTGTGCCAAGATGAATAATCTCAAAGTAAAACAGAATAAAGTTCTTTTGTTTTATTTCTTTACTCACTTCTGGGGTTTGTCTCATCTTCTGTCTCAGAGAAGAGTTTCCGTGAATGTTTCCTGTCCAGATTCTTTTGGTTGCACTTGCTTTGGCTGTCGGTGATGCAGCTCAGACACTACCTCTTCATTGGCACCTTAAACCCCATGCTGCAGCGGCTTACCGCGGGAGAACCATCACTCGGTGAGTAACACATACACTGCATCAGAACGCCAGTCTTTAGAGTTTAAAGGGTTTTATATTGAATTATTCTGTAATATATAACTGATGTGTGTCTCTTTTATTTCCCTGCAGTGAGCCAGTACATCAATGCTTTCGCTATAACGCAGATGTGCGGCGTGCTGTGTGCTCCTTGGAACGGCCTCATCATGGACAGACACAAGGGAAAGCCTCTTGCTGCAGGTAGAATATAAAACCCTGACAGTGACAGTGAGTGTGAGCCCTAATATGTCTCTTCAGTCTTTACTGTCTTCACCTCGAAACTCCACTCGAGTTCCTGCAACATTATCCACAAAACAATCGTGTCACTGTATTAGTGACCACAAGTGGGTCAACCATGTCTAGCAGCTTTCCCTTTCTACAGGCATGCTAAATTTTTGAATGATACTGGTCCCGAGGTAAAAAGGTTTGCATGTGAGTAAATACTGACTTGTATATGACTGTGTAGGTTATTTTCAAACCACAATGTGGCGCCCTCCAGCAACTTTATCTTTGTGTGAATGGTTTCTTTTTTTTTTTTTTTTGATTTAGTGCTGAAGCTCATCCTTTTATTAGTCTTAAAAAATTCCTCCATAAAAGTCTCTTCAGTATTCTCAACAAAGACCTACTGTTGTCACATTACACAGTGACACATTTTTAAGCACGTAATTGGCTACTGAAAATATTTATCATGCTTTATCAGTGACTTTTGGCTGCTGCACATCCCCTCGCAGAAATTTACAAAACACAGTGAGACTGAGGTGAACGAGGATTCCTCTGGTTCTGTTTTCTGCACCACACAACACCACACCTACAGACTAACTAAACATATCCTTTTATTAAAAGAACTTCAGATGGTTTCTTTCTTCTTTTCATTTTTTATTGGGGAATATTTGTGATATGAACTAAAGAGATTTAACATATCAGGTAAAAGAATTAAATCTAAACTTGAGTGAATCCAAATAATTCCTTCAACCAAAAGTGATATAGTATCCAGATTCTTTCTCTGTGGATCAGTACCAACATTAAAACCTGAATTTTGTCCTGGTTGAACTCTAGACAGCTTTTTACCATCCTTGACTTTATATCTAAAATACATCTTAAAGGGTATCAGTTGGCCCCGGGTCATCAGGAGACATGGCAATTCAGAGCTGTGTGTCGTCTGCATAGTTATGGAAGTTGATGCTGTGCCTCATGATAACTTTTCCAGGTGGTAACATACAAAGGTCAAAAGGCATAGGACCTAAAATTCGACCCCTTGGAGATACCATGAATGATTTTACAATGTTTAGATGAGATTTCACTTTTGTTGTATTGCTGTTGTAAGTGAACCACAGTGAAATACACTGCAGCTTTTCTTTAGAGTCAAAGCCTCTGCAGTAATCTGTCCTCTCTGTGCAGACGAATCATTCAACTCAGATGACGGATCTATGTGTGTTTTCACGTGTGTTTTTAGGGGAGAGTGAGGGGGAGGCCGACCTGCGCGCCACGGTGCTTTCTCTCTTTCTGACGGCCCTCCAGTGTCTGTTGTTTTCCGTCTGTGCCACCACCCCATACCTGCCGCTTCAGTACGTCACCTTCATCCTACAGGTGCTCAACCGCTCCTTCCTCTATGGAGGCAACGCAGCCTTCATCAGTGTGGCGTGAGTACACACACACACACACACACACACACACACACACACACACACACACACACACACACACACACACGTGTACACAGCTCTCTATGAACAACTTTTCTACGTCATTCACAAAAGGCAGCACAAGGAAACATTTGTAAATAAACTTGTGATTTACATACTTAGATTACAGTCAGACCTTCATACAAACAATAAACATTAGGTTGTCACGGTAATATATAAGTGAACATCCAATACTGCTTTATTTCAAGCTCATTTTATCCATTTCCTGCATAGTTAGACAATCACAAGGATTCCCTGTGGACGTAAACACCTCTGTAAACACATTAATTTGTTGAAGGTTGTGAATATACGTTTCAAGATAATACAAACATACCAACAAAGAGTTTCCTGCAGGATGAAAAATTGATTTAAATTTTCTTAATATTTAAATGAGATCAGGCAAACATCACAGTATGGGTGTTTACACCAGTGAGTAAGCAAAAACAGCTGTGACATTGGTTAAAATCTGTTTTCTTGTATGTTTTTAATTGAGTAGACAGTAATTGTTCTGTGATTTAATTGCCAACGCTTCAGACGCTTCAGATTTCTGGTCTTCATATTTACTCAGATTCTCTGACAGTAGAACAACAGCTGTCCTTGTAGAAAAATGTGGATTTGATTTTAATCACAGTTCTTTTCAGAAAGTTACCTTTTACAGACATTAACAGCGGCATGAAAATGCTCTTAGGTCACTCTAAATTGATTTGTATCGATTTACAACAGAAGTAAGATTAATTTTTCTCCACAGATGAGCTATTTACTGTGATACATTCATACTGAAGTAATCGTTTGTAAAATACAAACCCATGATCCATCCTTTATGAATTCATGCACTAAATAACAATGACAAGCATTGGTTTAGAATTTCTTGAATATCTAATTTGTACCCTTATTGTAAAACGTCATCTTAAAGTTACTTTGTTAGAAAGCCATGTCTTTATGCTTAAATGTGTCCCCCTCTCTTATACCTTGTGTGTGTGTGTGTGTGTGTGTGTGTGTGTGTGTGTGTGTGTGTGTGTGTGTGTGTGTGTGTGTGTGTGTGTGTAGTTTCCCTTCATGCCACTTTGGGAAGCTGTACGGTCTGGTTATGGCTTTGTCTGCAGTGTTTTCTGTGCTGCAGTATCCGTGCTTTGCTCTGGTGAAAGGAGCTCTGGGTGGAGATCCTTTATATGTGAGTACATGAAGAATAAAACTACACCTGCTGTCTCTTCGCTCCTCCAGTAAACACTTCTATCTTTGAACTCTCCTCTTGTGTGTCTGCAGGTGAACATCGGCCTGACACTGCTGAGCCTGCTCGCCTTCATCCATCCCCTTTCTGTCTACCTGCACTGTCGCAGTCTGGCCACCCAGCGAGCCAAGAACAAAGTCATTAACTGAAGTCCCTCATTGACACAAGAGCAACAACTCACACTCAAAACTCACCTGTAGCACTGTTACCTCCTCAGTTTGTTTGATTTGGCCTGATGACAGTGTTGTGTTGCCAAATGTATCCCTGTGAAATCTAGGTTTTGGGTATGTTTGCAGCGCCTGCACACCTCTGGAGGCTGTTTAAGAAACTGAATGGGCCCATAGGAATAAAGAAGAGCTGCCATTTACTCTCTAATGAGATTTCCAGGATTCATATTTCTATTTACATAAGTGATGTGAGAATGAGAAACAGCTGTTGCTCCTCGGATTTCTTAAGGTGCTGTTAAACCTACCTGACACAACAGTCAGCTTTGTCTGTGTTGTATACAGTTCCATCTACCTGCTATTACTCTGTTTTTAATTTCTGTTTCTTTGTTTTATGCAGAATTATAATTTCACATTTGTATTCATTTTGTTTTTTTTATATTCTGTATATCACTCACCAACACGATTAAACCATAGTTATGGTGGCGCACAAGTGTATATAGATAATGCACTTTACTGTGAAGAGGCGTTCAGACCAAAAGTGAAGCAAATGTTTAATGTGAAGTTCTCACCAGGTAAAGTGCAGGCAGCCCATGCAGTAATACAATACCTCACAATGTGTTGCAGAAAGCCCTTTTTTTTCACAAATTTGCAACATGATCTAATTGATTTTGCATTCTTCACCTGAAAAGTCAATCATCTTAAAATTGTGTTTATTTAGGTTTCAGTTGCAGGTGAAGTAGGGATGAAACAAACGCTGGCAGTTTGTTTCAATCAATGAAATCTTGTCGCTGGACATGAAACTGAGCGAAGGTCAGTCTTTGGTCATCAGAAAGAGTGAATGGTGAAGTTAATTTGGGTTCATGTCACACTGGTGTTTGACTCGCCGTCACTTTGGTTGTACAGTTGTTCCCAGATCAAACTGGAGATGAGGGGGAAAAGTCAATATTTCCTTCATTTTTGGCTGAACCCAACATATAAAGTTATTAGAGATTATATTCATGTCTTATTTTATTTGTGGACCTCAAATATTTTATTGAATATAAGACAAATGATGATGACTGTGTGAGACATTCAGAAGTCATAATGTATAATATACTTCAATGATGCTTTACACACAAAGACGAGAGATATCCAATTGTAAATAGTCAAATTACATGTTTGTGCTTATTTTTACTTATCCACATGAGCATGCTACTATGAACACTGAACAGATGCAAATTCAAAGCTTTTGAACACATGAAATGTATTTTTTAAAATGTATACATCACAACTGAAATAAACATCAATATCTAATTTACAGTTCTTATTCAGTGTTGTTTTCTGTATCTGAAAATCCTTTTGTGTACATTTACGTAGAAAAATACTTGATATTTTGTTCTTGTCATTTTGTTTTGTATCTGTGAACCCAAGAGAGTAGGTTTGATTTTTGTCACTGGTGGGAACACAAAATTGTCCTCCTGAAAGTTTATGTCTTTCGCATTTTCAATCATAATTCTGCGTCATGTAGAGCTGATCAAACAAGCAAACAATCATAGTCAGAAAATTGTCATGTTTATAATGTTTATAATATATAGTTTGATGGTAAAGTCACTGCCTGAGGCTTTTACTTTCACACAATTATATTCTGTGTCATAAATTTCTAAAGTTTGTCCACAGCTCCATAGGAATGGCTGGAGGAGGCAGGATTTTTGACCTATACTGCATCCTGTCACCAGAGGGTGCTGTTCTCAGGGTGGCTTCACCCAGTGAGGAGGCAGGTGGCGTCCATTCTATATACAGTCTATGGTCTTCACATTCAGACTGAACAAAATGATTGGTCAGAGTTTTTACAGTATTGCAGCTGCCACAGATCTCAGATTCATTTCGTTTCTCTTTCCCAATACATAATGAATTGACTACTCTCAGGGTAGAATAATCATTTCATCCACTATGACAAAAAAATGTCTCTGAACAACACTGGAGTTTGGACATTGAGTTCATGTGCTGCCTGAATCCTGTCCTTCAGTCAATGTTTTAATGTTTGAATTTGAAATTGATTATGTAGTTTGGATCTCCTGCAGTTGGGTTTATTTACTGATTCAGTTTTCTGTTTTCAGCTTTTATCTTCTCTGCTTTTCTGTTATTTGATTTTTCTGTTTTGGTTGGTTATTTTTGCTTGCTTGTCAGATCACTTTGTAACTGTTTTATGTAATTTTATAAATGCAATTATTATAATTTTCATAGTAGTAGTAGTATTTAATGCAAAAACTGACTTCATTTAAATCATGTCATGAAACATGTAGTTATTAAAAAATACAGAAGAAGCAGTAGTATGGAAAACTTGAACAGTAAATAACAGATATGTCAGCATGTAAAATTGTGTGATTATTTTTCTTTTATATATGTTCTTTGTTTAGTATCTGTCATTTTGCTGCAGACAAAAGATCAAAACTGGATCTTCAACAATAAAGACAGCAACAAGCTGTTCAAATATTTCATCTCTTTATTCCAAAAAAAAGAGAAAAGAAAAAGACAAAATACATCTGCAAAACTGGTGATAATGAACAAATAGCATTAAGATTTTAGAAACAATAAAAACATGTTGACCAAATCAGTAGCTGTCAACTGGTGTACAGTTTTTACCATATTTAAGATATATTTAAAAAATCCTGAAAGTGAAATAAATCATGTTTTGTATGATTCAAGAAAAAACAAGACTCTACAGAGGACCGTAAGTATCCTTGAAGATCTAATACATAATTATTTTATTGTTTGATTGTACATTATTCGATCATTGATATAACTATATTTATGGTTCAAAATAGAAAAAAAAATATGTTTGCTGTTTTTACACTAAAAGACAATTAAAATCTGAACTAGCTTAGAAATGTCTGTGATGATAAATAATGACAGATCTGATAGTTCTGTTCATTCAGTTCAACAATGTGAAAAACACAGTATACCACAGATAATGACTTTTTTCACCTGCAGCTGGAGTCCCGACTCTCATAACTGGAAATCTCATTAAGTCTCATTTTGGAGAAGGAAACAAGGCAGACTAGAAAAGCTTACTACTGCTAGCTGCTTAGCTTCCTGGTTCCTCCACTAAAGTAGCAGCTCCTTTTCAGCCCCCTTACTTTTCGGTGTGTTTTATTAAACATGTTGTGTAAACACTTATATTGTCATCATGCATCTATGAGTGGATTTTGTATTTAGAACATCTGTCTCTGTTTTTGCTTCACATTTACTATCTTTGCCATGATTTCATTTCTTCTGATTTCTGCTTTGGTCAGCTGGCTTCCTGTTTGGCTATCGAGTTGTTCCACTGTTTTACCAACAGTGTTTGGCCATCCTCAGGGATCCCACAGCATGTAAAGATCTCTGGTCAAATATAATGAACATGTTTAGAATTGGGCGGCACAGTGGTGTAGTGGTTAGCACTGTCGCCTCACAGCAAGAAGGTCCTGGGTTCAAATTCGGGTCAGTCCGTTTCTGTTTTGAGTTTGCATGTTCTCCCTGTGTCTGCGTGGGTTTACTCCGGGTATTCCAGTTTCCTCCCACATGGAGGATGGATGGTTGTTCGTCTCTATATGTCAGCCCTGCGATGAACTAGGGACTTGTCCAGGCTTTCCCCTGCTTTCGCCCGAAGATGTTGGGATTGGCTCCAGCCCCCCCACAACCCCGGGAACGGGAATAAGCGGTAGAAAATGGATGGACGTTAAGTATTTACAATTCTAAATCAGGGAGGCTCTGATCATCTTGGGAGAGAAGAAAAGTCACTTTTTACACACCTCACACCACAGGATAGTTATTTTACTGTGTTTTTCCATGTTTTACGTTGATAAAGCACTTTTTATGGTCTATGGTTACAGCAAGTTTGTGCAGCAGTTAAGGCAATCACTTAGCTTTAGTTTTGAAAAAGTTTTTGATGCGTGTCCACCATGTTTTATCAGCTTTAGTCACAAGTTTCTTGAACAGCTGGTCTATTTCTTTTTCATGCTTTTTCTGCAGATTTTCTTTTTCCTCCTCATTTTTCTGCTCTTTCATTTCTTCTTCCTGTCTTCTCAGTAACTCACTGATTTCTTTCAGTCTTTTCTTATTGGCCACGATTTTCAGTATGTCACAGATTTGGTCCAGGTGTTCTTTCCTTCTTTGTTCTTCATTATGGGCTGAAAGTGCTTTTAAGAGGTCATGTTGCTTCATCTGTTTCTCATACTCTTCCTTCAGAGTTGCAAATTCCCCTCTTTGTTTGTCTTTGAAGTCATTGATCTCTTCAGCTTTCTCTCTGGCTTCATCATTAAATGTCTTCTTCAGATTCTCAATTTCATTTTTATATTTCTCCTCAACAGCCTCTTTTTCTTGTCTTTCTTGTTCTTTTCTGATCCTGTCTTCTTCCTTCTTTTCCTGTTCATATTTTTCTCTCTCCTGTTCATATTCTTTTTGAAGTTCTTGTAGTCTTATTTGTTCTTTTTGTCGCCTCTGTTCCTCTTCTTGATTTCGTTTTTCCCACCATTCTGTCTGTTGTTTCTCCAACGTCTCTCTTTCTTTATTCATCCTTTCTCTGGTCTCCTCCAGCTGTCTGTCAATGTTTTCTTTTTCCTTAGTTTCTGACTTTATCTTTTTCTCCAGAGTTCGAAGTTTCTGTTCCCACTCCTGTCGTTGAGATTCTTCCAGTTCTCTCCTTTTCCTGTCTTCTTCTTCTCTCATTTTCCTTTCTTCACATCTGCTCTCTTGTTCCTTCTTGATGGTTTCCTCTTTTTCTTGCAGTTCTTTTTCTCTCAGTCTTCTTTCTTCTTCTGTTTCTTCTCTTTGTTTTTCCATATTCTTTTCCATTTCTTTTATTTCCTGCTCATGTTTTCTTTGAAGTTCCTCCTTCTCTTTCTTCATCTCTTCTTCCTTCTCTTTAAGGGTCCTCTTCATTTTTTTCTTTATAGCAGTTTCAGCTTCTTGCAGTATCTCGTTGGTGAAGCAGCTGCCTCTGTTTGTCTTCACCATTGTGTCAATCTTTGCTATCAGCTCACTGACCTGCTCTCTGTTTTGTTCCTCATAGTTGTTGAACACGTGGTATCTTCCTCCACAGTCAGCCATCAGTTTCTTAAAGGAATCATCACATTTCTTATCAATAAATTCCTCAGCTGACATTTTGTTACGTTTTAGTGAATCTCCTCCAGTTAGAAGGATGATGATGAATTTTTCTGCATCCTTTCCGAATCCTTCTTTGATCAGTTTTATCGTCTCCTTTTCCTCAGGTGTAAATCGGCCGATGTGTAACACCAACAGAAAGACATGTGGTCCTGGAGCCAGAAGACTGACACATTTGATCATCTCCTCATGAACCTCTTCATGGGACAAGCTGTTATCAAACAGACCAGGAGTGTCGACCAAAGCAACAGAGCGACCGTCCACTTCACCATGTACTTTCTTACAGAATTTGGTGACTGAATTTTGGCTTAGTTCAGCCTCAAACTCTTCTCTTCCTAGGATGGTGTTTCCTGAAGAGCTCTTTCCACTGCCAGTCTTCCCTATCAGCACAATCCTGAGACTCTCTGGGCTCTGCTTTTCATCACCTGTGGAATAAGGAGGGCCAAGAGTTACCTTTAAATGCTGAGAGATGCAACAGTAAAGACACTAATGTGTCACATCCTTAAACTCACATAAATAAGTAGTATTTATAATCATCTTTTTCAATACTTACAATCGGGCATTCTTTTTGTTTTCACATCCTGAAGTTCAGCCTGCAGTTTGCTGATCTTCTCTATTTGGGCATATCCAAATGTGTCTGTTGTGTAGCTTCGTGGTTTTTCTTCATTATTTTGCATCTTTTCCCCCATATCCAGCAGCTGTTTGACTTGCGTTTTGTCCTTAGTGTTGAGTACGAAGAACCTTTTTTCACAGCTCTGAATGAGCTCCTGAACTTCCTCGCTTTGGTCTATAAAGTTAACAACAGCTGGAGCTGAAGGATCTGACTCCACAGTGAACAGAATCATGGTGAAGTCATTGACTGGAGGTCCAAATATGTCCTGGATGGTCTTTAACTCTCCCTTGTCTTCATCAGTGAGTGGACCCACAGGTAGGACCAGGATAAAGGCATGAACACCTTCAGGATCACAGAGGGAGACACATCTGAGTGACTGCTCCATCACAGTCTTCAGAGGTTTTTCAGACAAAACAGGAAGCTCCACCAGAGACACCCAACGTCCACACACCTCCCCCTGATGTTTCACACACTCTTTTGAGCTGGAGGCTGAATGAAGACCTGTCTGACCTAAAATGACCTCTGCTGCTGAAGTCTTCCCTGCTCCTCTCCTCCCACACAGGACCAGG